AATAAACTTGGTGAATTTGAATTCTAGTTAGCATTAGTAGGGGCTTAGACTATTCTGCAAATACTGACAATTTATGGTGGTGTTAATGGATGTCTAGCAAGCAAAGAGAATGTGGTAAACAGTGACACAGTTGGAAGGGACCTTAGAAGTCATCTAGTCCAACCCCCAGCTCATGCAGGAGACCCGTACTAGGGATTCGAACCGCCGAACTGCCGACCTTTCTGATCAACAAACGCAGTCTTAGCCACTGAGCTACCTAGTCAGTTTATTGGTGGTGACAAATGGTACAAGTCATTTTTCTCGTAACATCATTGCATAAATGAGAGAATTTGCAAATTAAAGTTCTGATGTCTAAGATGCTTCCTGTTTCCTGTGTGTTGCGCTCAGGACAGAAACGAAGTGAATTCAGAAAGATCAAAAGCAACTTGGGCTTTGCAATCCCAAAGGTGTTTTTTTTCCCAGAGGCAACTGGACTTTCTGGTTTTTCCTTGAAGACATTTTGCTTCTCATCCAAGAAGCTTCTTCAGCTCTGACTGGATGGTGGGGAATGGAAGTGTTTATATTCTTTGCAGACAGCTGGTCATTGGCATCCTTTTAAGAGGGTCGTTGAGGCCACTTGGAGGTTTATCAGGTTTATCCTCAGGGTCACCTGAGTGGTGCAAATGGTCCCTGTAATCTGCAATTCTTTTCCTCTTCAAATCCATTCCTACTCCCACCCCATTCCAAGGGTGTTCATCCCAAAATTGTACAGCTAAAAGTCTGTAAAGAGTCTCAGCCATCCAGGTCATGGTTGTCCCAAGGATGCTTTTTCAGGAGGCAACTGGACTTCCTTGTGTTATTTCTTTGAAGACATTTCACTTCTCATCTAAGAAGCTTCTTCAGGTCTGACAGAATGGTGGGGAATGGAAGGATTTATATTCCTTGCAGACAGCTGGTCATTTGCATCCTTTTAGAGGGTCATTGAGGCCACTTGGAGGTTTTTCTGTGTCCTCAGAGTCACCTGAGTGGTGCAAATGGTTCCTGTAGTCTGCAATTTTTCCTCTGGAAATCCATTCTTATTCCCACACCATTCCAAGGGTCTTCATCCCAAATTGTATAGCTAAAAATCTGTAGAGATTCTCAGTCATCCAGGTCCTGGTTGTCCCAAAAGGTGCTTTTTCTGGAGGCAAGTGGACTTTCTTGTTTTTTCTTTTGAAAACGTTTCACTTCTCATCCAAGAAGCTTCATCAGCTCTGCCTGGATGGTGGGGAAAGGAAGAATGGAAATCCAGTCAGTGCTGAAGAAGGTTCTTGGGTGAGAAGCAACACAAATCCAGCTGGTTTTCATGCCTAAGGCAGGACTAGAACTCAGAACCTCCTGTTGATTGGCTAAAGGAATTGAGCCAGTTTTCATGCAGAACTCGGAGTCTTCATCTGCTGCACTCAGACCACTGAAGCGGCCTTTCGTGCGTAAGGCAGGACTAGAACTCAAGTTTCCTGTTGATTGGCTAAGTCACCCAGCACGCCTTCATGGCTAAGGTGAGACTAGAACTCACCAACTCCTGATGATTGGCCCTAAGACACCTAGCTGGCTTTCATGGCCAAGACTGGACTAGAACTCAAGTGTCTCCCATTTTCTAGCCTGATGCCTTAACTCAAGACTCCCCAAACTTGGAAACTTTTAAGACGTGTGGACTTCAACTCCCAGAATTCTCCAGCCAGCTATGGGAATTGAAGCCCACAAGTCTTAAAGTTGCCAAGTTTGAAGACTTCTGCCTTAACCACTACACCAAACTAGTTACCTCCTGCATGGACTACTGTACTCTACATGGGGCAGCCCTTGAAGACCATCTGCTTACTACACCTTTACTCCGTGAACTGCATTAGTTGCCAGCTCACTTCCAGGTTTAACTCAAGATGCTGGTAATCATCTACAAATCCCTACAAGGCATGGGGTGAGGTCATTTGAGGGGCTGCCTCTTCCCAATCCATCTGCCCATCCCATCAGGTCCATGAAAAGGAGCATGGTACAGGTGGTACATTCTAGAAGACCCTGAAGACTTTTGCCATTGTCCACGAGGATCTGACTAGCGCATGGAGCCACTGAAATTTTGCGTGGATGTAATGCTCCTTTACAGATTATATTTTTTTAAAAATCGCTTTAATGGTTTTCATTGTTAGTATTCTAGTTAATAATCTGTATTTATTTATTTATTTTAACCGTCAGCCATCCAGAACCAGGTATGCAAAATGGGGCACCATGCACGGATTGAACCATAAAATGGATAAAATCCCACTGCCGCTTTTGTGCTGTGTAAATAATTTTTTTATTTTGCTTTGCCTGAAAATACTATTAGTCGGTTTCATCTGGGAAGCCTCAAATTGTAGAATTGCAATGATGAGGAGGAGACCCATTC